GCAGGAGGCCAACCAGGCCATGCGTACCATAGCCATGCCCACCCAACAAATGGACAGATAACTTGTTGCTGAAATTTTTGAAGCCCATCTCTGAAACTTTTACATGAAGTCTTCTTTGCTTCACACTGTTGTGGTGTATTTGTTGATGACCAGCTCATCACTGTTATAGAGCAATTTACAGAAGAGACAGATTATTTACTGGTACTTGAGTCTTGTGTTCTGTACATGTTTATATCAAGGCTAGAATAATTAAGCCAACCTCTTTTGGTTTCTACATATTTCCACACAGAAACACTTTTGCTGCTCCTTGGAGAAGAAATCGTCTGGCCTTCTGGGGAGTAGATTCAACCTAGCATGGATTCATGGAGTGCAGTCAGTGATCTGTGACAACCTTTGATCTTTTGCCACTACAGGGTTTTTTTTGTGTGCAAACTTTCAAAAATGTTTTCCCTGGTTAGGTGATTATGCCAAATTGCCTGAGGAAATTCTGTAATGCAACCTGAAACCTCTATAGATTTCTCTGTGGATGTGGAGCTTAGTACATCTTTTAACAGAAGAAAGAGTTTTGAAAACCTTCTAAAAGTATTACATTAAATGATTGTTCTACAGCCTGTTTTAAATCATTTATCACTAATGATTATGGCTCTAATAGCTGCTGATGTCATAAATGGCATTTCTTATAATTGTATTGTATAGTACTGTATTATATTAAGTTGTACAATAAGTAATTGCTGAGTAGTGTTTTTTTCTTATTGCTTTATCGATTTCCAGCTTTTTGTGCTTTCAAAATTAAATTGTTTTAATAAAGGATGTTCCCATGTCTTCCAACATTTTGTTTTTTCTTAATCCTGTCTCAAACTTGAGAGCTGCAACTGTGCAAAGCAGTCTTTCATTGTGATATACTTCATGTCTCATTGGTGATATAATCAGTGTCTACTTGTCACAGGTGCAAAGAAGATGGCCCATTATAAACCATGTCAGCAATTGCTTCAGCACCTCCAAACATAATTTAAAAGCTGGCAGCTTTGTCTTGCTATAGGACAGCAACATCATTCAAGAGGAAAAGATATCTTTTGGTTGTGAAGCTTCTAGTTATCCAAGAAAATCTTACAGTTCGTTCTACTTTAAACACCAAGAAAGAGATTATAAACTCAAGTAAACAGCATTTTCAATATTCAGTGAAATTTTAGATCATAGCAAGATTCCTCTTTTGCAGGAATTTCTACTAAATATTCCTGGAATAATACAGGCTACTCCCACTCTTGTTCTTAAAAAAATAATGGCAATCTATCTTAACCAAGACTTTACCCAATATTGCCCACATTTAAGAGTTGTGAAGGTCTTTGGCAAACTTTCATGCAGTCTTATACACAGAATAATTCTATAGGCAAATAAAGTTTTCTTCCTCTTTACAGAATTCAAATGTATTTCAGAATCAAAGACAGCATTGATTAATACAATTCAGTGGTTTATCATAGCTTAGAATTTGACAAATAAAATAAATATATAATCAGCCCTTCATCATTATGTTAAGGCATACTAGTTTGAAAATATATTAAACTACAAATATGCCAAGCCTTGACAAAATAATTATTTATATGGGGCAATCAGGCAAGAAGGAATGAATGGCTTTAAATATTTAGTTGGACATTGGGTACATTTTCTTTACTCTATTTACCTAATAATATATGCTTATCTTTCTGTTCTTGAACTAAAATGTGTTACACATATTCTATTATTTTGCAACTATATCTATATTTCAATTATTTTTATCAAAATATATAATTGATATAATACACACACACATACATACAGTTATACTTCAAAGAGAACTTTCTGTCTGCTACTATTGTTGCACCTAAAGTCTTCTTAGAACTCTTATTATTTTCTATATAACTGTTATAATGTATAAAAAATACACCCTTGATGCATGGGGCTGTAAACATCTCAAATTTCAACTTGTAGATTCTTTCCTAACACTGAAAAATATTGCATAGTTCTTTCATTCTGTATGATTCATTTTAGGATTTGAAATCTTTCAAACACATTATATTTAACAAAAATAGCAATTACTCTTAAGAATTTCTAGCTCTTTCTGTGAATCTAATTCATAGTCTAATTCATACCTTTCCATACTTCTTTGCCAGATAAATATATGTAGTTTTTAAGAACAATAAATTGTACATTTCCTTGACTATCATTTAGTTACAAGTAAATTTCCCACAAAGCCAGTTCTTAAACATAAATTTTAAGGTGGTGTGGAACATTCTTTAGTCATTTTTAATCATCTGGCAAACTGCAGTTTGGAAGAGACACGGGAAAAATAATCCATTAGGTAGCTGATGCCAGAAGTATAGTAGCTGCTAAGGTTCTCTTAGTCCTTGTCTGCCCTTTACTGTTTACAAAAGAAAGAGAAATGAAAAAACATCCACATAATGAAGAGAAGAGTAGTCTCTCAGGCATCATATAATATTTCAGAGGGTGGAAAGACACAGTGCCAAACAGCATTCCACATTTTAACTCTTTTAATCAAATTGCTTTTAAATACATACTAAAACCAAGGGCATTTCTAGCCTGAAGCTTTGTAAGTACAATTTGAGGCTTCTAGCCATGCTTTGTACTTGGATCAATTTTCCCCTCAGTATCTTTCTGTGGACTCAAGATCTAAGTCCAAATTAGCCATGCTATCTGTGGGTCATCACATTTGTTTCCTAGTTTCTTCATTCCATTCCACTTCTGGTGTCTTTAAAGGTTTCTCTCTTTGCTGTTCTATATTTCTCATGAATCCTTTTCAATGGGAACTAGACTTTTATTAGACTCTAAACCTACTCAGGTTCTTATCCACAAAGTGAGTACAAACTATCTCCATGCATCTGCACTAAAGAGGTGCATGGAGATAGTAAGATAGTAAGAACCAGTGAGAAGCTATGGCTTAGAGTAGGCTCATCACAAGCATGCTAAACTACATTACATTAAGCACATTGATGAGAAATTCCTTTTTATGCCATAAAGATTGGTACAATGAGAGACTCTATTTCAGTTTTTCTTCCAAGAGGAAAGTTAATTGTGTGTATGTGTTTCAAGTCTCATTTGTGATGAATCAATGCATAATTAAAAGAAGTTTCAGTCATTACCCTGAATTTGAAATGGTGAAAGATTTTTTAAAAGATCAGATTTCCTTGTTTATCTTTCCTAATTTGCCCTCTGTATAAAATCTACTAATATAATCTATCATTGTATCTTGCAATATAGGGGGACAGATGAATTCTGTTCAATTACAAAAATAAGAACACTATTTTACTATTCCAGTTTAGTCTGAACTCACTGTTTTCCCCCCCCAATCAGTTCTTTTGTTAACAAAAGAAATTTGATAAGGGATAATTGGCCTGATTTAACAAACAAGGAAGCTTCAGTGCACTCAAGCCTGTTTTGCTATAGGTATTTTTAAAAAGAAATCTATAGATTTATAATGTTTCATTTTATCTCAGTTAAGTGTACCAAACAAAAAGTCTATGGGTGTGAAATCTGGTTGCTTCGGGCATATATCGTGAAGTTTTTTGGGCAACATTTACACAATGTGCTTTTAGATTAGGGATGTGGAAAGAACGCCTTGCAATGGCCAGAACTTTTCCTCCTATTTGTTTTCGCCCCTTTGAGGTAGTCTGAAGAGCATTGCATCACATTTGTTTTCAAAGTGATAGGAAAATATTGAGTCCCAGAATGTGGGGGAGAAGAAAGGAGGAATTTACAACTGAGGGAGTGAAACAACCATCAGGAGGACTTCACCATTCCAATAGCAATGAAGCTGAAAGAAATATTGCCCAATAGCTTCACCAGTCTACCAGCAACTCCTGAGAGGCTACAGGTAGTCAGCAGCTGGTAAAACCAGGACAGGCTGAGAAACTGCCAAACCGTTTGGTTCAGCAGCAATTTAAGACAGTGATTGACAGCAACAAGCCAACATGCAGATGGCTAAATGATGACTAGAAATTTTGATATAAGCTACATATAGATATACAAAGACATGCCCCTGGAAGGAAAAATCACAAAATTGCCTCTTCTTTTATTTTGACCATTATTTTGGTCATGTGGGGGAATTCATTGGAGAAAGCAATTATGTTGGAAGAGTATTAGTAAAAGGAAACCAGGCCACTATGTCTTGACAACATCAAAGTTGACACTAGCCACAGAATAGAGCAACTCAAAGTAGTAGTGCAAATCAAAAGATGTGAAGAGCCTGACCACCGAGAGTCAGACACAACTGAATGGATATCATATATCTATATGATGATGCTACTAGTTATATGTAGTTTAGGAATAGGATATAAACACAGATGTTAGATGATAATATAACAGGTTTATTAATAAGTGGTAATATAGATATTAGAAAATAAAGTTTCTTCATTTTTTATATAACAAAAGCCTCCTTGCAAACATAAGTATGTGACGTATCTTGAAAAAATAGGTTGGATTCATATAAAGTGTAAAGTCAAAATGTAGTTAATTCAAATTCCATGTATTATGTGAACTCTCTCATAAAATTTTAGCATTAATTGTGAACATAACCATTCTTTGATCATAAAGAAGCTTTTGGCTTAGGATGAAAAATTAGTGACTTCTGCTTTTCTCTCAGATTTTCCAAATAAATACCCTTTCATACACTTTGTGCAAAGATAGCATTTTTTCTTTACATTAAAATATCCAATTCTAAGCATTTTCCAAAGCTGCTTTTAAAATCTCTGCTCTATGTAATCTCATGTGATCATCTATGTTTGGCAGCTGAGCTGATTTAGCTTGGACACTTCTTCGGTGGCAAGCCAAAAACCAGAGAAAAACAAATCCTGCTCTGAAATGCTGTGTTCCCCCAGTTGCATTCATTTTGCCCCTTTTTGCTGCCTGATTTTGTAGTTCTGCAAGTTAAGGAAGGTTGAGTACATTTCCTAATGGAACTTTTTGTTTTGCATACTACAAGACAGATAAAGAAAGGGGAAGGCAAGCAATTCATTTTCTGTTTCTTTAAATAATGATTACATAATGTTCCCCCTCAGTGTTTTGATGACCGTAGCAATGAAGAAATCTTCAAACAGTTTTTGAAGATGACCCATGGAAGAAAAATATATATGAAAATATGCAAAATTGGACCAAAGCAGTTAAATTTTATCTGATAACAAAGGGAAACACTTCTTTTCATTCCATAAAATTACAGACAATGAATGGTTCTTTTCAACTTATCACAGATGACTGCACTTCATGCTTTAAGTAGTCAGCTCTTATAGCAGTAATTATTCATTTAGCTTGCCTTGTTACAGCAGTAAGAGAACTTTGATAGCTAGACTATGATGAGAAAATGAACTGCCAGTGAAGTGTATGTTTTCCCTGTCTGAATACTACTCTGAATACAGCTTAACCCTCCTATGTTTAATGAAAAGGGAAAAAAACCCAATCCTTCCTATATCCAACCAGGTCTTCTCCATATCAGATCAAAATTTCACTTATGGCATTTGGCTTCTATAGCATGCTGGCTAGTTCTGTGATTGTGGTGGTGATCCCAAACATCTGGAAGGCACAATGTTCAAGAAAATAAGAGTATATCTGAATGCAGTGGAGCTCAGAATGGAAGAGAATGGAAATGCGCATACAATCCCAGTTTTACTTCTCTCCACTTATTCAAAGTAGTATTTCAAAGGAGAAATGTTTTCATGGTTTGCATAAACACCAGAACAGGTCTTTACTTCACCTCAGACCTTAATAAAGTAGGAATCTAAAATTGCACTGACAAATGCATTTCAATCTAAACAAATACAAGTAGATTTCTCTAAAGATGTTCTATTTAAATGTCGGATAGTTGGAGAAAGCTTTGATTAGGAGTCTACATGCACAATCTTCTTTTCTCCCAAGGTCGAGCTTCTGCTGGGAGTAACATTGATATGGTGTCTTTACTATAGTGCTGAAGATTTTATTAGGGTAGCAAATTCCCTAGAGCTTTTGGTCATTCATAATATGTTTCTTTACATATTCTGCTAGCATTAAGCAACTGATGTTATTGAACAATAGCTCTGGGACTTATAGAAGTATTATATAAATCAAATTCTGGTGTTTGTGTAGCATATCAAAAAGCTGTATTCAATATTGAATAATGTAGGGTTTTATATTCCCTATATTGTGCTTTAAAAAAAATCTTATAAAATTAGTATCCTTTCATTTTTTTTCTATTGATTGACTGGATTGTAAATTGCAGAGCTGTATATTGTTTAACAACTTTAAAATGTAACAACATATTAATACTTTCAGAATTTGATTATGCTATGGTTAACTCATGGAAGATTCTTTATGCTCCAACAGAAAGAGAGAATACTTAAGATCTTAAAGGAGCCCGCCTTTCACATTTACAATCTTACTTTTAATTTCATATTGAAAATTTGGATACATTTGGTAGCATTAAAATCATGTTATTGCCATTCCTACTGTGGTTTGTGGATCAGCCCTCTGTTCCCATCACCAAAATTAAATGTTTGCCCAAAAGTTTATCTGCTCTTCAGCTAGATGATTTCTTCTCCAGCAAATTTTAATAGTAGTTTTGTTACAAAGCAATTACAGTACTATGGGTTCCTGGAAAGGGATTTGTTCATTCATTGGGACATTAGGGGCACGAATGTTCAATAGGGCCATTCTGGTTAATTTAGGGTGACAGAAGTTAGTTTTAGAAGTGTAGTGATTAAAACATCAGGCCAGAAAGTGAGAGTCTGTTTAGTCTAGTCCTGCTTCATTCATAAAACCAGGAGGGCAATCTTGGGTCACTTATTCTCAGCCCAAGGAAGGAGTCAAGGGAACACTACTTCCAAATAACCTTGCCATTAAAATTGCAGGTACTATTGCAAGCAATCACCAGGCTTCAAAGAGACAAAAGAAAAATAAGTTATATTACTTACAATGAAATGAAAAAAAAAAGACCACTAATTTATCCATACAAAGTTCTTTTGAAAACTTATCTGAAAATATATTCAGCTTCCTTCTGAATTAAGATCAGGCCAGGCTGTTATGTATAGGATGTTACTCATAATATCTGCTAGCCAATGCATAGTTTGTAAAAAAAAGAATTCAAGTTCTTTTCCATTTTGATCTGTTTGTTCTGATTTTAGAAAGTGAAAGCTCTCCAAAGTAAAATCTTCGCTATGTCAACCAAATAATGTAATGATCCTTGAAGTTTTTAATTAGGGCTCTTCTAATCAATCTTTAAGCTTTCTTTTAATTTCCTTCAGCTGATGTGGTCATAAATTAATGTGTTGCATTCAAGCACTGAAAAATAGAAAAAAAACAAGAAAATAACTCACTTTCATCAACATTCTCATTTACTCTTAAAATGAACGCTTTATGGAGTATTCTTTAGGTTTTTTTTCATATTTCACTTTGAAATGAACCTGACTGTACCTACAATGAAAGAGATTGAGGCAATTTTGAACCAAAATAGTCATCTGACTATAGCAAATGAAACTATATCTTGTTTGTTCAGTGAATTTGTCATCACTATTACATTTATCAACGTAATACTTTTAAAAATATATTCTAGACTTATTTTTGAGGTTTAGAACACAGATCTTGGTTGGTTAGCTCACTTGAATGAGCTTACTTGACTGTGAGCAAAACAGAAATATATATATATTTTCTTATATAATAAGATATTCAAAACAAAAGAATATGTAGGTCTGGCTGACAAACCTATGTAATATAAATTAATCCCCTTTTGTTCAGCTACCTTAACTAGTATCCTTTTAAATCACACTTCCTCTACAAATTCTTGTAATGCCTTTATAATTCTTTTTGGGTCTCCTCACTACAGGGGATAGGTCTTTTAAAGAAGAAAGCTTGTCAATATAGACAAGAAGTTAACCATAATTGGTGATTAGATGAATGTTGCTTCACTGGAGAAGCATGGGTTGAGGGTTAATGAAAGTGGAAATGTAGCTTAAATAACTGTCAATATTAGAAGAGGCGGGCAGACAAGATTTCTCAGAAATTCATCAAATAAATCAATGGTGAGAACCCATAAGGATAGTACATAAGAATATAAAGACAGATTGGGTGGTGGTTAAATATATGCTGTGTGAAAGAAACAAGACATCAGACAAAACGTTTTTCTAGACTGGAAAGCTCAGAGGGAGGAATCTTTAGCTAGAAATAAATAACAAAATAAATAACTTGTTTATTTTAATAATTTTTCCAAAGAAGCACAAAATTCATCTATCTACACTATAGATTTGGAGTTCCAAGGATAACTGTTTTCTAAATAGTACCTTCCCAATAATACCACATCAACTGGTAGCTGATGTGTAGTTTCTCATAAAATAGTTGTCAAAGATAATTCTTACATATTGACACAATGACTACCATAGTGGTTTTCACTCATCTAATTTTTCTTTAGATGCAAGTCCATTACCTTAGAGGTCCCAAACTCCGGTCCATGGAAAGGCACCGGGGCACGGCATGTCAGAAACTAGGTTGCACAAACAAGCAAAGCCCCATCTGAAGGATGTAGGTAGCATGCGAAACTATGCCCACTCTGTACGGTGGAAAAATCTGTCTCTATGGAACCAAAAGGTTGGGGGCTGCTCAATTACCTGAATCTCCATCTTTCATTATGGCCTTCTGAGACCTGTCCCATCACGCTATCTTACTTCTTCTCTGAAGCAATTGTGTTATTCCTAACCTTGTGGAACTGAGTCAGCTCTGGAAAGAAACATTATATTTGGAAAATGGTGCTTTGCTTTCCAGGGTTCCAATTTCTGTTTAATTTGATATTTAATGCATAATAATTAATTAAATCAGAATCTTGGCAGCAACTTTTCTGAAGTGCTTCCCACTGCATAATCTTGCTTCTGAACTGAGACTTCTTTTTCAAACTAAAAGAGAAGTAGAAACAACAGAGCAGATTAAAATTACAGTTTTATGACATAGTTTAAAGCAGTGTTTTTAAAATTTGGCAACTTTAAGACTTCAATTGCTGGCTGGAGAATTCTGGGAGTTGAAGTCCATGCACCTTAAAGCTGCCAAGTTTTAAAAACACTGCTTTAAAGAGAGGCTTATCACTTGGAATGTGCAATGCCATCTCTCCCTTTAGAACAATGAAAATACTGGAACATCGCCCAGCTATTGTCTGTGAGGCTCAAGGTAACAAACATCTTGCTCTGTTTCTTCAATTATATCTGGCCTTTAGCCAGGAGACATTCTGGATTTAATTTTCTAGGAAAGTGCAAATCATGATTGTAAACCTGCTTTATTGTATCATCATCTAATCAGAGGTGGGTTCTCACTGGTTCGGCCAGTTTGGCCAAATGGGTAGTGGTTTGCCGGCCTGAATCGCAGAACCAGCAACGACCCAGGTTGGCCATGCCCCCAAACTGCTTCCCCGGTCACCACCATTGCTGCCACCATCTTTTTTTTCGCATTCTGTGCATGTGCAAAATAATTTCCATTGAACTATGCTTGCGTGTGTGCAAAGTGCATGCACGAGCAGATTGGCAGTAATGACATCTGAAACCCACTCCTGCATCCAATGTATTTTTTTTAAAAAGAGAGATCATAATAACCAGTGCTAAGCATTGGTTACAATAGTTCTGTAGTGTTCTGTAGTGTTTTACAGCATTCTCTGAGCAGTATACAAATGTCAGCAGATTCCCCCCCCCCCAGTAATCATTTTACTCACCTTGGAAGGATGAAGGTTTTAGTCAACTTTGAGCCAGTCAGGATCAAACTCCTGACGATGGGCAGAGTTAGCCTGCAATACTGCTTTATAAACACTGTAGCCTTATGGCTTCTAAATCTTAGGTTGAAACATTTTAAATGGTCAAAACTACATGCTTGATTTTAGAGTCTACATTTCTTTAACTCCTTGAAGGGAACTAAATTTTTCAATCCAAGTTAATATTTTAAATATTATTAAACAGAGCCAAGGACAGTATATTGGATAGTGTGCATAACACTGCACTGTTTTGACAATTACACTTTCAGACAATTTTAAAAAGAAAAAGTTATCAGAGAAGTGAAATGAATTTTGTCATGATTTACAAATCATGGAGAACGTATAAATAATTGAAGATGCATTTAAAGAACCGACCTACTTTTCAAAAAGCATCTATTAAATGCCTCACATTTTGTGGACCATTTTGGACTATTTTACATGTTTTCCATTAAAAAACATGAAACAGCTCTTTACTTAGCAATTTATTGCCTTCCTTTGCTTTATCAGAGAGGAATGTTCTTTAAATGATCTGTTACACTTGTAAGTGATCATTATTAGGTTTGTCACACTGGTGGAAGACCATTTTAGCTTTTATCTAATACACATATAAAGGACAGTTTTTGAAGCCAAGGTCTTCAAATAAATCTAAGCTCCAAAGAAGGGACAATTGGAATGATGTCAGCAAGGAAAAAATTGCAGTCCATGACATTTCAAAGAAAAACAAGGAAGTCCAGTTGCCTCTTGAAAAAGCACTTTTGGGACAATACATGGCAACATTTTAATAGTGTGATGTGTGTGTGTGTGTGTGTCTGTCTGTCTGTTGGTCTGTCTGTTGCTTTAAGAACTGCAAAAATGTAGGAAATCAAAGCAGCCCTTGTCTTAGCACCACACTACTGAAAATGGCAACATATAATTTTCTGAGAAGGAGGTCAAGATGAACAACGATGACACTTTTAAAAACCTTTTTGGCAAGCTGAGAAACTACATAGATTGTGGACAAATCTGTTTCTGAAAATATATTGGAAGAGGGGTCTCTAAAAAAATTCCATCCCTGATATGGCCATATTTATGACTGGTGAATCACTTCAGATTGGAAAATAATATTATCAGCATACCAATGATATTTAACCCTCTATTGATGAATGGCTTTGTGTATATATTAAATAGGAATCGGAAAGGAATCAAACCCTCTTCTGCAGTTCAGGAATCTAGGGCTAAATCTTCTGCAGTTCTCCCTCTGAAATTAGATTCAAACAGCTCCCATCCTGTTGGTATTTTGAAGATCCATCCTAGAAATTGTAACCTGAGAAAATATCTCGTACCATAACTTTTCTAGTTCTTATGAAGGTAAAAGGAAGGAGGGGAAAAGTGCAATCAGATTTGCAAGATTTTGTTACAATAAAAGTAGCATTGGCCTGCATGACTTTGGCTTCTAGTCTGGTGTCCTTCAAGGACTAAGAAGCCATTCTATACTTTCTGTTGTGCTTTTCACATCTAGGTTAGCAGGGATGGTGAACTTAAAAGTGCCTTGTTAGGACATCGAAATAGCACCATAATAATGAAAAACATAAAAGTGAAAATGGATCCAGAACACAGTATTAAAAAAACACTCTTAGCAAATCTTAACACTTAAAAACATATACATCCTCTTAAATAGTAAATTAAATAACAAAATTATCAGAAAACAGAAATTAGAAGCATGCCAGATTTTTAAAAAAAATTGTCGGATTTTGTGGCAGAAATCACATCCAGAAAGCACACAGAGATAGCAATATAGCAATAGCAGTAGACTTATATACCGCTTCATAGGGCTTTCAGCCCTCTCTAAGCGGTTTACAGAGAGTCAGCATATTGCCC